AATATAATAAAAATTAAATAAAATAAAATAAAAATAATTAAAAAAAAATTAAATAAATAATAAAAATACATAGTAAAAACTAAATCCGTCATTAAAATAGAATATAAATTAAAAAATATCTTCTTTTGTTTTTAATTTGATTATTACAATAATTTCAAGAAATGTATAAATAATATATATAATATTAAAACTTACTATAGTTACACAATGGACCTCCGTAACCTGATTCACACTTACAGACATCGGGTGCGATACAAGTACCATGAATACAGTCCTTGGAACAGATAGGAATGCAACGATCACCATCATTGGTCTCCGTATAACCTTTGCAACATTCTTCTACGGGTCTCTGTTTTTTTAATTCCTAATCGAATGAAATTCAAACATTAAAAAGACTTTCTTTTTTTTCTAAATTTTCTTTTTAATTAATTATTATTTTTATTTATTTATTTATTATTATTTACCTGCTCCTTAAATATAGTCTTAAATACGACTTTATATTTGGAGCATCTTGGTGGAAAACTGAAGCACCAAGTATTCTCTCGGACAGTATAAGGTTTCTGCTCCGATATCCTCACCGTCACTGTGTACCTGACACCAAACACGTGTAAAAAATGAATATTATGAGTTATGAAAAAGATAGATAGTTTAATAAGATTAATGATTAAAAAAAATCACTAATTCTTTTAAGTCTATTATTACTTGGTTTTATTACTTATTATTATTTATTGAAAAATTCATTAATTTAAGAAGAAAACTTTCTAATATAATATTAATATGATTTTTATATTTCTTTTTTTTTAAATTATTTAAAATATATGCGAGCATGCTTTTAAAAATTTTTAATAAAAATTCCGAATAATAATATATATTATTTATAAATGATTTTTATTTATAAATGATTTTTTTTAAAACTTGTTTTTAAGTTTTTTAAGTTCTTAAAAAAAACAAAAAAAAATTAAATAATATAAATAAAGTAAATGATCATTTATATATGATGATTTATATATGATAACTTTATATATATTATTTTACTTCTTTCTCATTTAAATATATGTTAACATATACTTATATACTTTACGTTTACTTACGTTATACACTCATATACTTACGTTTCTTGCCTCGTACATATATTTGGACCTTCTAAAGCATTAATTGTTCCCAAAGCTGCAATAGCAGCTAATAAATAAATCGATAAAGTCATTTTGACTTTTTTTTTAAAAGCATAAATATATATATAATATATATTTTCACGTATATCACATTGCTTTAAGCAATATCTCTTAATGTCTCCAAGTATTACATGTGAGATTTCTTTCTTTAGATAATTTTCATACATTCCACATAATCAACATTTTTCTGGATCTGAAAAAAAAAATATTAATATATTATTCAATTTCTTTTTATAATTATCGAAATAAGTAGTAATGTGAATTAATTTTAATAGAAAATAATCAACAATAAAAATATTATTACTAAATATTGTATGGCTATATTCAGAATGTTATCAAGCATCAAAGTGAGAGTTTGAGAATAAAAATATTAACTTAATATTTTTATATAATAAGGAAAAAAAATGTAAAAACAAAATAATGATGTTTCAAGTTTTAACATTAGATTAATTAATTAAACATTTTTTATATTTTTTAAAAATTGAAAAATCATTGGAAAAAAAACAAGGAATAAATAAAAAAAATTATATTAAGACACGTAAGTTCAAAGAAATTTCTTCTAATTTTAGACTTTGAACTCCATCGCTATTTATTTATTTTAATTGCACTCTCGACTTGTACAATTCGTGACAAATTGCATATTTATTAAAAACAACATTTATGGAAACAATTTTGTAGAAATATATTCAATAGAAATTTTCTTTCTTTTTTACTTTAGAAAATCGAAAGATCGAAAAAATCATGAAAATTTTCTTTTGAAAAATAACAATACGATAAAGTATATAAATTATTAAATATTCTTTTTTATAATTATTAATTATTACAAGATTTATATATGTTAGTATATGTTGTTTTGTTTAAGAGTTTAATGTTAATTACAGATATATTATATAAATTTATCAAAATAATAAAATAATTTAATAACCCATTGTATAGATAAAATTAATTTATAGATAACAAAGTAAGTAAAAATTTCTATTTATTTCTTAAGAAGGTATATTTTATAGAATATCAAATTCCAAGAATGATATCTAATCTTTGCATGGAAACTTTCTAGAAATTATCAAGTAGTACGATTATCGAATGCGACTCAGATGTTGCTGAATAGTTGCTGATGAGTACATTGCTTGTATTATATGTTGAGTCATACGAAGCTCGGAAAAAGTTGCATACAACTACTGAAGGCTGACTACAACTTCCGTATTATTGTCTTCAATTTGCCGAATAGAAAGTTTATCGTCAACCATGCCTGCAGTGTCCAGGAAAACATAAATAATATATTAAAGTATGAAATGTCTGTCATTTTTAAATTTTCACGGAGATATAGATTCAATTCTTTAATATTAGTTAATATTACTGAATAGAATTCATTTATAAGAGCAAAATTTTAATTAAATTTTGTGAAATAAATTCTTATCAGTTAAATTTATTTAAATGAATTTTATGAATTTGTATTATTTAGATATCAAAAAATCATAAGCTGTAAAAAAATTTTTTATTTTATGAATTCTAATTGTTTATAATCTATATTTATTTTCTTCGAATTTAAATAAATAGAATGATATATAATTTCTAATACTTTATGCTTTTTTTTTTAATATTACTTATATTTTATAATAATATTTTTCATTCATTTTTCATTGTATATCAAGAGATTTAATTTTTTTATTTTTCTTAAATTTATTTATTGTATTTTTATTTTTAGAAACTTTTTTTTTTATCTTCTGTTGCATTCCATCTGATTTTATAATATTTTTTTTTATTATTAAATTATTTTTTTTTCATATTATTAGATTTTTCTTTCTTGTGCTGAGATTTTCTTTTTGATATTATTAATATTTCTAATAGCCTAAACATCACATCAATAACTAATCAATAACTACTCGCCTACACAATCGAAGTCGCAAAAGGTTGTAATATATAAGTATAATAACCCACACTAAAAATTGAAAGAAGATCGAAGTCACGTGTGGATCGAATTTCAAACATCCATGCTCTTTATCCAGGATCAACTAACCTTGAATCGCTTCAGTAAGATAAGTTCTTTCTTCTTGGTTGTTTGCATTCTATGCAGATCGATCAAATTTAAATTTTACGTAGCTCAAAAGAAATTATATGAGTAAAATACCGAATGTAATTGCGATAATAAATCTTGATTATATTTATCAAATTTAATCTTATAATTTTATAATTATATTTTATAATTATTTAGTTAATTATTAGTCAACTAACTTTAGCTATTTAGTATTCTTTTAATAACTTTATTTTTAGTAATTTTGTTTGTATTATATATTGATTATAAATATACTTATATAACATTGCTCAAGAAAAAAATATTAATATAATAATAATAATATATATATATTATATAGTAAAAAAGTGAAATGATAGTAAACAAAACGGAAAGTTAACGAATCTAATTTTATCAGTTAATGAATAACATTTACGTACTACATAAAGATAGATTCAATTAGACTAACGAAAATCAAAATCTATCTTTGATAATAATGATTACATTTATTATCATATCTAAATTACCTAATATAATTATATAATCTTGAAATTGGTTCTCAATAGTTATCCGAATTACAAAACAAAAACTGATATATAACATGAAAGATATTAGAAAGAAATTATTAATTCAGAATCAATAAACTTCATATATTTTATATTTATATTGAAATAAAAATGTCTATTTTTATTTCTTGTTCTTAATTTAATATTTAATTACTCTATATTTGTATACAACTCTATAAACTCTATAAATTATGACTCAAACAAATAAAAAAGACAAAAAAATATCTTGTTTATATAGCTGATTTATTAGATTGACTTTTCATTCATCTAAATAAATGTATATAGCATGTGATAATTGATTGAAAATTTGAAAATGAACGATATTGCCAATGACCGTGAAACAAAAATCACCGTTGAATCTCCGCAATTTTTTCACACAGTTAACACTATCATTTCCGGTCGCTAGTCATTCGATCCATGATTTACACGTGCTTGCATATGAATCATAAATCTGGAGTCATTTTACTGATTAAAAAAACGTGATACAGACTCTTGATACAAATGATTCACAGATATTTTCTTGAATGAAATGAAGTTTCTGTTTACTTTCTATATTGCATTAAAACAATTTTTCTAACAAATTGTGTAACAATTATTAATCGCAATTATTTATTTAATGCTAATTTATCTAAAAATTGAATATTTATCATTAAAAATTTAATTATTAATAAATTTATATATTAGATAAATTTGAATATTGGATTTCTGGAAAATTTTAAATTATGGAAATTTAAAATATATATATTTAGATAATTTTGTTTTTATATCAAAGTACTTTCATTTTTGCAATTACATCGATAAGTTAAACTTGCAATATTTAAATTTATTCTTTTCTAGATCTAATCAAATAATTTAAATTATTAAAATATTCAATATTTAAAATATTCAATTACTTATTTATTTATTTATTTTTTTGAATATTTTCTATTTAAATGAATATTTAAATATTTAGATATTTTAAATTCGAAATATTCGAATATCCATCTCTTATTGAAAACATAAATGATTTTATTGTTTAAATTTAATATCATCATTATAACTTTTTATAATACTCATATTTTTTCAATTATTTCATTCATATCACTGAGTGAGACAATTTAATATAGAAACTATAGAATTCTATCTAACTTAACAATAATATATAACTCATAAAGAACATGCGTTCTTATATTTGTTTTTTGTATACATACAGTTTGAGAATTAAATTACAGAATATGCTTTAATATGTAATTGTATAATGAACACATTTTTTTCTTTTTCTTTTCTATATTTTAGAATTTAATTCTTTTTATTTTTTTCTCTGATCTTTATTTTCGTCACATAATTTTTTGCTTATTCATCTCTTAATAATATCAAATAAATTTGTATATAAATATATAATAGTTGTGCCAATATAATTTATAGATTTGAAATTTTAGATACATATATATGTTTTTATAAATAGTAAAAAAAAAAATTACATTTATTTGATATTATTTTTATTGAATTTTTAGTGAATCTTATTTTATTCTTTTTAATGATTAAAAGTTTATGATTGACATTAATTTATTTACAAATTTATATTACTTTTCCATTAATACTTCATATAAGATATCACAAAATATATTCATTATATGTTCAACAGACGAAGATATAACAATTTTACATCTACGTCAATAAGTAGGTACATTTCATAAGATTCAATTAGAAATATATATATATATATATATATATATATATATATA